AGACAGAAGGACAGACACAAAAACAGGCTCGCCCTTTATGTAAGAGATATATAGATTATCTTGTGAGATGTGTTGTGTTGTTGTTGTTGTGTTGCGTTGCGTTGCGTTGTGTTGTTACAATATGTTGTTGTGTTGTGTTGTGTTGTGTTGTGTTGTGTTGTGTTGTGTTGTGTTGTGTTGTGTTGTGTTGTGTTGTGTTGTGTTGTATTTTGTTCTTCTAAAATGGTAGGCATAAAATGAGTGCAACAGGGGGAGGCATGAGAGAGGTGCTACAGGGGGAGGGATGAGAGAGGTGCTACAGGGGGAGGGATGAGAGAGGTGCTACAGGGGGAGGCATGAGAGAGGTGCTACAGGGGGAGGGATGAGAGGTGCTACAGGTGGAGGCATGAGAAAGGTGCTACATAGCATGGTTTGCTCACCTGTGTTTCTCTCGCAGTAGGTTGGCGACGTCAGCGCATAGAGGCACGATGCCCCTGCGCGTGCTCTTCACAACAAATGCGACTGCCTTCGAAGCAATCTCCTTATCCTCCATCAAGTCATCCAGCTCACTGCTCCGGCCTGTAGGGCAAAGCAGAACACCAGCACAGCTTTAGTTCTCGCATTCACCAAGACTGGCTTCACTCAGATGCATGCCAGATTTGCTTTTAATATTCTTGCATGTTGGGCAAAGCAGACCACATGGACAGTTTTAGTTCTCAGATTTATGGATGCTGGACAGCGCAAAGTGTATTCATCCAGCTTCACTTCTCAAATGTGAGATGCGAGATGCTGTGTGGTTGTAAGTAAGGGTTCATGCATGATGCTAGTAATTAGTGTCCATGTTCCCAGAATGATTAATCATCGTCATCGTAATGGTGGGTCTGTACTCGGAAATATATATATATATTATATATATATATACGTGCCGCCCAAGAAGCTGGGAAGGACTCCGGCTGATGTAGTTCACGACCACCACCCAGAAGGTTATAGAATTTGCGATGTACATTCCTGTCACAACCCTGTATACATACACTTGTCATCGCAAAGTACACATGTAATTAATATAACTAGCTGGAACCCACGCTAAGCGCGGGCTTAGTGACTGTGATGCATGTGGTACCGACTGTTCAATACCCAGAAAGATAAGAGAAGAGATTGACCTTGACATTGACATTTAACTTCATTATTACATTCTTATTTTTACTTACATTATTGGGCTTACAAAAATGTCTGTGCATGCAGCACGTTGACAGACGGCGAAATATTACAGCACAACGTTCACAGACGGCGAAATATTAGCAAGGCAAAGATATAGCGCCCCTATTTTCAAGCAAATGTTTACCCTTTTTTGTCTTTTTGAAGACCTTTTTACCGTTTTCAACTGAGTAAAGTTTAGAACCCGTCCCGTGTATTCATCGATCTCTTCTGTGAATTTGGCCCTATTTGGATCAAAACTGACGGAGCCTTTCATTAACATACATACACGCACGCACGCACGCACGCACGCACGCACGCACGCACGCACGCACACACACACACACACATACATACATACATACATACAACATTCGCCAAATTATAGTAAGATACCATGGGGGGGGGTGCCGACGTATTGTAAAACAACAGCGGGTAGGTACGTACGCGATGAATTTGGACAGGAATTTCTAGAACTTGCAGGGCTGTGCGCACTAAGTTAGGTTATTAAACTGCGGCGACAGGAAGTGATACAGTCCTGAGAGAAAGAGTGAGCGAGAGAGAGAGAGAGAGAGAGGGAGTCGATGAGGGAGGGAGAAAAAGAGCCGAGAGACAGAGTCGCGCATGAGAAGGTCGAGAGAGTGAGAGAGCCGAGAGAGAGAGAGGGTCGTGAGAGAGAGAGAGAGAGAGAGAGAGAGAGAGAGAGAGAGAGAGAGAGAGAGAGAGAGAGAGAGAGAGAGAGAGAGA